TCAGGGTTTATGGTTTTAGAGTTTTAGGTTTTAGAATTTAGAGTTTTGAAAGTTTTAGGCGTTTGAAGTTTTAGGATTTTGAGGTTTTAGGTATTGAGATTTTAGGGTTTAGGATTTTTAAGGTTTTGAGGTTTCAAAGTTTTAGAGGTTTAAGTTTTCAATTTTAGAGTTTAAAATTTAAAGGTTTATGGTTTTGAAATTTTGGGGTTTCAAATTTAAATTTTTAGGGTTTTGATAGTTTTGAGGGTTTTGGAGGTTTAGGGTTTCGATTTTAGAGTTTTAAAATTTTGGGGTTTAGGGCTTTAAAGATTTAAGGTCTTGAGGTTTTAAGGTTTGAGGTTTTTCAGGATTTCAAAGGTTTGGAGGGTTTGAAATTTTTAGGTTTAGGTTTTATAAGGTTTTGGATTTTAAGATCTTAGGGTTTCAAAATTTAAAAAAAAATGAATATTTTTAAAAATCTCAAACATCTAGGTAAACTTTCGAAATAAGCTCGTTTTTTTATAATTTTTGAAAATTAATTAAATTTTTTCATAAAATTATTATTATTATTTATTACTTATTTATTTTTATTCTTATTATTTAATAATTCTTCAACATTTAGATGGAATTACTTATTATTATTCTTTTAAAAAATGATTTTTATTCCTTCAATCTTCTAGGCAAGAAAAAAAATCTTTTTTATTATTCTATTTTCACTATATATATTATATTATTTTATTTTATTTATTTTTTTGGTTATTATTCTTCTTTATTTTTCAAATTTAAAAATATCAAAAGTTTTTAAATTTTTATTATTGTTATTATTATTATCTAGTTATTTTTTATTTTTATTTTATTAGGTTTATTTTAAATTTTTAATAGAATTTAAAATTACTAAAAATTTAAATTTTATTTTTCATTTTTATTATTGTTATTAAAAAAAAACAAATATTTATTCTAGAAATTTTAAAACTTTAAACATGCACAAATAATAATAACAAAAAACTTAAAATGATAAAAACTAAAATTAAAATTAAATCAAAAAATTAAAAAAAAAGCACTTGAATTAAATCAGTTAACGGTCCGATCAACATCGGTTCAACTGGACCTACTAAGGTTGAAAGAGGAGTTTGGTCGAGTGCGAATGTGTGGACCCCTAATTTGGTTGTTGGGTCATGTGTAGATTATTGGGCAATGAAATGACATCGTTTTGGAGTCTTCTTCATTTTATATAAACCTTTATTTTTTTCAATTTAGTTTTTCTTCTTCTTACAAACAAAAATTCAAAACTCTCTCTAAGATAAAACCTAAAGGCCAAAACCAACCATTGTCTATTGCACTATTTGTCACCTGGTTGGCAGCCGGTGGTTGTCGATTGATGTGCTTGTCACCAAAATTTTTTCAAAAAACTCCCAAATAATAATCTTAACCTTTGCCACCCTATTTCAACTTCCTTTTCACCTGAAAACACCCAAATCTCCTTAGATCTAAATAAAACCTTTCGGTTTCAACCAAAAAAAAAAACTTTTTTGCTCTTTTCAGTTTTTTTATTTTATTAGTTTTCTCTATGTGGTTGTTGGTGCTGGGTTCCCTATTCTCAAGGGATTTTTTTAAAATTTTTGTTGTTTAACTTTTTGGTAGCTTGGGATTTTTTTCGGTTTGACAGAGACTTTCTTTTTTTTGGTTTTTTTGGCATCTTTATTCTTTTTTAATGGTTTTTCAGATAAGATTTTTTTTATTTTGGTTTTTTTTTTCTCTCAATTTTTAGCTAAGATCTTTTTAAATCTTTTTATAGAGCTTTAATGGGGACAAGCCTCCATGTTTTCGGTTGCAATCCCCGTTGTTAAGGGATGGTGGTGGTTGCGACTGGGTAGGTGGCTTAGGGTATGAGTTTAGGGGCTATAAGGTCTTAAGTGGTTGTTTGGGGTAGGTGCAGCTCAAGGTCAAGATGTGGCTTGGATAAGATGCTGTACGTGACGCCATTGTCTTTTTTTTTTCATATATTTAATTATTATTATATTTAATATTTAATTATTAATTTTAATAAAATTACTAATTTAGAGAATCCAGATAAAATTCAATGTTTACAAGTATGAAATGGAACAAAGATTTGAATTTTATAAAGAAATAAAAACTTAGATGAAAGTTTAGTAAATGAAAAAAAAGTGGTTAAAGTGAGAAGTTAAGAGAAGTGGGAGAAGTGACTCACCTGAAAGAAGAAGAAAAGTGTTAACCTAACTCAAGAAAGGAAAAACGAGTTTTTAAATTTGATAGAAATGAGGATTAGCTTGGATTAATTTATGGTTGTTGTTTTGTTTCACATTTTTCTCATTTTTTTTTCTTTTGCATATTTCTAGTTAGTTCTTGAACTCTTTTCTTATCCTTTGTTTATCCTTATTCTTATGTTTTATTGTAAAATTTCATTATTATCTGTAACTAATAAAAGAACTCATCTTTTGTCCTAAAAAAAACATGTGACATGCAGGTAGATGGCTTTTAGCCAAAATTATATAGAGGTTAGATACTGTACTATACTACTAGTAGTTAATTTGAATTACTAGAATGCTATAATACAATGCCAATACGTGAAGGGTGCCATGTTGTGTTTAATCATTTTTTTTTTTTTGCTTTGCTTTTTTTTTTTTTTTAAATTTTTTTCTAGATTTTTTAAAATATCTAATAAATATTTTTTAAAAGATTAGAATTTTTAAGGATGAGACCATTTTATACCAAGTTTTTTTCTTTTATTTTATGTTTTTACCATTTTTTTAAAATTTTTAATTAATATTTTTAAAATTTAAATTTTTTTAATTGAGGTTCACTTGATACAAAAAGGTATGCCACATGTTTGGTTTTTTTTTTTTATTATTATTTTTTTTATATATTTAACAAATATTTTAAGATTTTAAATTTTTTTGTCTGACCTATTTAATATCGAATGTATATCATATGTCAAGTCAGTTGCTTTTTTTAAATTTTTTTATTAATATTTTTGAAAGATTTTATTTTTGTGTGAAACACACTTGATACCAAGGGTACATTGCTTGTTTGCTTTTTTTTATATATATATATATATATTTAATAAATATTTTTAAGATTTCAAAATTTTTTTACCTAATTAATACAAAAAATATGTCATGTGTCAAGTCATTTGGATATTTTTTTCTTAATTTTTTTTCTATTTTAAATATTTAATAATTTTTATATTTTAACATTTTTAAATGTGCTCCTATTTGATATTGTTAATTAAAAAATTATTTTTTTGTTTTTTTCCTTTTCGATTTGATAATTTTGAAGAAAATAAATTCTAAATGTGTGGAAGGAATTGATATTAGTTATCTTATTTGGTCTTTTTTTTTTTTTTTCTACTTTTTGGTTTTTCAAAATCCATGATTAAATCTTGCAAAAAAGAAATAGAAAAAACTCATCGTCTAGATATATGGATACCTTAATTTAATAAATACATATTTTATTCTTATTTAGTTCATTTTCTTTCTTTTTTTTTTCTCGTCATTTCTTTTGTTTTTTAAGTTATCAATTTTTTTAAATTAAATAAATTTTATATAAAAAAAGTTGATGGATGTAGTGATGACAAAATAACTTATCTTCAATAGGTTTTAATTTGCCTAGATCCAATTTTTATAGTTTTTTAAGAATTTTGGGATTAAATAAAAGTTTTTGTTTTTAAATTGGAGTGGTCAAAGGTAAATTTAGAGTTTTTCGTTTTATTTTGAGTATATATAAAATTATTTTTTAATTAATTATTTTATTATATATATTATAATAATTAAATTATTATTTAATATTTTAATTTGATAAAAATATTATATTTATAAATAATTAAATTTAATACATCTATCCATTATATAAATTTGATTTATTTTTATTTTTGTTTCATTCTCATTTAAAGTGTTAAAGTGATACTTTACATTTATTTCTTTTTATTTTATTTTTTAAAAACTTTTTTATAAGAAAATAACATTAACGGAGGTGCTTATGTAGCACCTAAATTTATTTTACTTATTTATTTATTTTAAATTTTTAATTAAATTAATTTTATAATAAAATAAATCAATTGATAATAATGATAAAATAGTTAATATTTAATAAATTTTTATTCGTTTCAATTCGATATGAATATTTTAATAAAAAATCGATATGGAATCAATTAAAGTAGATTTTTTATAAAAGTAAAGGATGAATAAAAAAAGGAGCCTCTGTATGATATATATAAAAATATTATATTTATTATTTATTTAATTTTATTATTATATATATGTATTCACCTATTTTTTTGAAAGTTTGGTATTAAATAGGTACACATAAAAAATAAAGTAAATATAATTTATTTTTACAAAATATATTTTATGAAAATAAAAAATCAATTTATATATTCACGTGTTACTTTTATTTGATTTTTTATATGTTTTGTCTTTTTTGTTTTTTTTTTAAATTAAGTAAATATTTTAACAAAAAAACTAATATATAAGAATGATAAAAAAATTTTTAATTGGGGTAACTCGTGAATACCCACCCAATATATATATTATATATGAAGTTTTTTTTTATATTTAATGTATCAATGTTATTATTTAGTTAATTATATATAATATAATATTATAATATATATAAAAATCTGATAAAATTTATTTATATAAATACTTAAGTAAAATTTTATATTATTAACACGTATGGTTATTTTAAATCATTTTATCAAATTAATTATTTAATTTTTAAAAATTTTAAAGTATCAAATTTTATATTAATCCAAAATTTTAAAAAAAATATAAAATTTATCCTAATTTAAACCTGAAGATTAATATAAATTTAAATTTAAATTATAAAAAATATAATTAAAAATTTGGGCATGATTAGAAAAAACTAGTAATAATATAATTTCCTTTTAAAATTAAAATTAGAGGCTGTACTGAGTACTAACCTCTAACTTGTAAGGAGACCATGGGATAACTAATTGGCTGCTACCCGAGCAGTCAGTTGGTCACCATTCAAAACGACGTCGATTAGCACGTTAACCCAATAAACGGTTGCCAGGTGTCAAATGTGGTCATTGGCTTTCAGTCTAATCTATTTTTGATTTTCCTCCGGTGCAAAGAAAGAAAGAAAGCAGGCCACTTTGTTGTCCTTGGCACCGCCGTTTTAAGTTTCAACTGTCGAACTTGATGAGCCATGCTTATCGATCCATATCCCATCTGGCTTGTTTTCGTTTTCTGTTTCGTTTAATCGTGGATTTGAATTGAAATTCAAATTCCAGCTTGGCGGTTGCTGGATAAAAATTGGTACTCACCGGAAATTGAAGAATGGCGGCGCAAAACCAAATCCCTAACAACACCGATCTGTTTGATGCTTATTTTAGGAAAGCGGATTTGGACGGAGACGGCCAGATCAGTGGAGCGAAGGCTGTTGGCTCCAATTTGCCCAAACACGTTCTCGCTCAGGTCATTTCTCTCTTCCTTTTTATATTTCTCTAACAAATGGCAACTTGCCTTTCTTCTTTAGGGCCCCAGAGACGTAGATCGAATTCGAGTCTTTCATCCGCCATTTTTAGACTATTCCTCTTTAATTAGGTTTAGGTGCTATTAATTCTTGAAACATACACCAGATTTGGATCTAATCAAACTATTTACTGCCCAGCCGAAATTTTTTGCAGTTTTTTTTTATTATTTTTATTCAGTTTTTATTGATTTTTTTTCTTCTGGAAGTTGGCTAATATCTGGTGATTGAGACGAAAGGATAACGAAGAACACAAAATTGACTGGGTTACACTAAGCTTTATAATCCTATCTGATCTGAATGCGTAGGCGTCAGTGATTTTGTCTTTCTTTTAAACTGTCAGAAATAGCATAGATGGAAATGGTGTGTAATTTTTTTTTATTGAATATGAGCTGCAAAATATTTTTCAAAGGGTGCAAGAGAAACTGATATTTCATAACTATTGCAGTAAAAGCTTCTTTAGTTTGTAGTTGTGTTGTGGATGATGCACTACCTTCATGCCTTTATCTTTGTTCTTCAACTTAAGCATCATTTATGTTCAATTCACATATGAGAATATTTAAGTGCGGCTCAGCATTGTAATGCTAGGAAAAAAAAGGGTACTCTTCGAGGGTTTCAGTAGATTGTTTCATATCTCTGTTGTTTTTGGAGAATTCTTGCATGGTTGACATTTTAGATGTTATTGATCCATTTGGATCAACTGGGCCATTTAGGACATCACTGGAGAGTCAGACCCTGACGAGAGATTCTGGTAATTGGAGTGCTTTTTAGTCAAGTAAAATATAATATATATATATATATATATAAATGCTATTAAATCGGCTGTCTCTCTTTTCATGTTAAAGCCTTATAGGTCAAGATTTTGCTCTCTTATGTGGTGGACTGATTCTTTCATTAGTATATGGCAACCGCTAAAGGAATGATTGTGCGTTGTATTTTTGGCCTATTTGATTTTGCAACTGTCTTTTCTTCTCCTTTTTGTAACTTTGTACTAGTCCATTTTCTTTCCCTTTGCCGTTTTGCTTCAGCTTTTTTTTCTTTTTTTGTACAGTCTGGACTCAAGCAGTATTCTTGTTCCCAAATGGTTAGTGATAATCATTGTATTTGATATGGAACGTAAAATTTGTACAAACTGATTAAAATTACCCACTTGTCGTGGTTATTACTGGACCAGTTGAGAGGCATTTTCCTTGTTTTCTTCAAAAGCCAAAGGCAGTTCATTGAGATTCAAGATTTGAGATTGAGAGTGTAAAATTTTCTAATTAGGGTTTGTGCTATATAAATTATATGCAGAGCAGATCGAAAAAAACAAGGAAGGGTTGATAAAAATGGAAGGCTGTGATGAGATTAGGAAGCGACCCTCCATCTTTGTCGTCGGATGTCCCAACGTTGGCAAGCGCACCCTCATCTCCCGTAACTCTCCTTTTCTCTTCCGATTTTTCTTTATTATTATTTTTATTATTATTATTAAAATAAAAATAGGATCTTCCTCAAATACTTCTACTCCTGTTATAGTACTTATAAATTAATTATTGTGTTGGATGGGATACTGTTTCTGAAAATTGTGAGCCATGGGTTGCTATGCTTTTATTAAAAGTTTTAAGTACTTTTGACAAATTTTATTAAAAAAGAAAAGAAAAACTATGCAGGGCTTGCCTCTGTGGAGTTTGAAGATGAAGAAGATGGCTCGCAAGTGGTTGTCCATGGGTGTGTATGCTTTCTTGCTACTTACCCTTAAAATGTTTGTTTGTATTAATTAATTATACAATACGTAGTCTTTTCTTTCTTTTTTTTTTTTGGTAAATAAAACTGGACTCTGATTACTGATAACTCAACCAACAACAGCTGGACTATCAACACCAAATACTACACTGCTGATGTTTCAGTGTGTATAGCTCATCTTCAAGATGGATTTTCAGTTGGAACCCTCCCTATTTTTAGCCGTTCAACTGCCTTGCTCATGGTTTTTGACATGTCTCAGGTAACCATCTTACTTTTCTCAGTTCTTCCTAACTTAATTCTACAATCTTCTGCCTTTTTACAACATATTTATAATTTGATTATTAAGTGTGTATATATGTTGTTCTATACCCTCACCTTCCTTTATGCCTTTTTCTTTTTTCTTTTTCTTGCAGTTATCAACTCTTGATGCACTTCAGGATTGGGTGTCTCGCACTGATATTCGAAACTTTGAGATTTTACTCTGCGTTGGGAACAAAGTGGATCGTATTTCAGGGCATCCTGTCCATGCTGAATACACAAAACGCCTACTCAAACTTGCTGATTCCTCTACTCATCTTTCTTCTGACTCCACTCAATATGGAAATTTTGAAACTGAAGGAAGCAGTTTATTGGGCTATGAAGACCCATCCTCCAACATTAGTAGGAAATGCTTGGAATGGTGCATTGACCACAACATTGAGTTCATTGAAACTTGTGCTTCTAATGCCGAATTTGACAAATGTAAGCCCATATTTACTTTCTGCTTCATCATATCTCTCTTTACTTTGTGTTACATTGCATATATACTGAATCAGTGATATGGAATAACATGCTTCAACGCCAAATTTCCAATAAACAATAATTATAAATTGTAATAACCATGTCATCCTGCTCAGCAGAAATGTATTTTGCCTACAAACAAATCAAAATGATGTACACGTGTATAATTGTGAGAAGTTTTACTTGAATAATATTCCTTTTGTTGAATGGGAACTTTTATAAAAGGAAAAACATCTCTTCATTAAGTACAAAAGTACAAGATATTTCTCCATATGACCTAGTGGGTTTTAAGTTTTCTTATGGAAAGGATATCACTGCCACGATAGTCACAACTCACAAAATGAACACTAAATAAAAGTCATGTACAGGTTATATATTCTTATGCCTATTTTTTGGAATTAATGTGGAAAAGAACTGTTCCTGGCAGGTTTGTCGGTTGATGGTGATTTACAAGGAGTTGAACGTGTTTATGGTGCTCTTTCTGCTCATATGTGGCCTGGAATGGTTCTGAAATCCGGTGATAAGATAACTGAACCTTCGTTAACTGAGGAAGAAGGTTATATGAGACACCCTTGTTTTTAATAAAAGTTCTTGTTTATTAATTGCTAAATCATTTTATTGTCCCCATCTAGAGTCATCGGAAGAAGAACCTGATTATCAATTTGACTATGAAGTGCTATCTGCGGGTTCAGCTGAACCATGGGATGAGACAGGTGAAGAATGGGTTTCTGCAAGTGCAGCTAACACGGTCCTGGATATGGGGAAATCAATTGATGAGGAAAATTCCGTTACAGAGTGTGTTGAAGGAAATATAACCAGATGTGAAAAGGAAGAGTTGCAGCCTTTTCCGATAGTTTCTGCATCAGAGGAGAAGATTGACAGAGTGGAACCCAATGCCAGAGAACCTGAATGGGTTTCTGCAAGTGCAGCTAACACGGTCCTGGATATGGGGAAATCAATTGATGAGGAAAATTCCGTTACAGAGTGTGTTGAAGGAAATATAACCAGATGTGCAAATGAAGAGTTGCAGCCTTTTCCGATAGTTTCTGCGTCAGAGGAGGAGATTGACAGAGTGGAACCCAATATCAGAGAATCTGACCTGGCTTCGGCATCAGAATTAAATGATGGCACACATTATGATTTTGAGGACTTGGAACAGTTGATGTCTGAGATAGGAAATATTCGCAGCAACTTGAGGTTAATGCCTGATTTTCAAAGGAGGGAGATGGCCGCAAAGCTGGCTATGAAAATGGCTGCCATGTTTGGAGGTGGCAGCGATGATGAAGCCGAGATATAAGTAATCAATATGGGTATTACTGTGATATAGGAACTTTCAGTTAGTAGAAATAAGAAAAGTGTGGTGAGAGGGCCCATTGCTAGAGCAATTGGTGCCTCTAGCGCTAGGGGTGTAAATGAATATAACTTCAGGGTGTAAACGAATCAAATTTTTGATGAATTGTTAATGAACATGTTTTGTTTCTGATTATTTATGTTCATTCATTAAGTTTAATAAATAATTTTAAACAGTAATTTTATGTTTGTTTATTAAATGATCTGAATACGAATAGGAATTTGTTTAATTTATTTATATTTGTTTAAAATTTGTTTAAAACTCATTCGTTTAGTGTTTGTTTATTGTTCATTTATAATAATATTAATAAAATTATATTTTTATGTTAATCCTATTTAAAGTTTCGTTTATATTTATTTAAATTTGTTTGGTTATAATTTATTTATTATTTATAGATATTTATTTATATATGTTTATAAATATATTTGTTTAATATTTATAAATAAACGTGATTAATCTAATAAAATTGAACACGAATGGAACATGAACATCTTATAATTTTAGCCAATCGAGTTCAAATGAATAAAATAATTTTTTCTCAAACACGAATAAAGTCTTAATATCTCTAAAAATAAATGAATAAATTATAGACATGCGTTCATTCGTTCATATTTGATTCATTTACAATCTTATTTAAATTTGAAAATTTTTTTTGAGAAAATAAAAATTTATTCGAAAAAAATAAAAATTTATTCGAAATTATATTGTTCAGTTTACTTCAAATCAATTTTTTTCTTATTCGATTCAAATTAAATTTAAATATATATATATATATATATAAGATTTGGTTTGAATTTTATATTAAAAGATAAAAAAATAAAATCGAATCAAATTATATATTTTTATTAACTTTTATATCTTTTTAAATTTTTATAAAACAAAAATAATTATTTTATGTCTAAATTTATTTGATGATATTAAGGCTCATATTAAAATAACATATACAAAACAAAAAAATAAAATTTAAAAATTAATAAATCAAATCAAATTATTGAAATTTAATTTAAATTAAATCCAATCATATAAAAATTTAATTTAAATTCAAATAATATTTTAAAAATTTATAATTTTAAATATTATCTAAAAAAATTAAACAATATCTGATCTTATGCGTTGCGTTTAGCAGGATGGAATGTAATTGGTAGGGAGGTACGTATATTACGTGTGTAAGACTTAACCCACCTTCTGAAAGGCTCCTACACAATCTGAAAACTAGAGACTGCGGAGAGATGCTTATTAGTCTGGCGGTGGCGGCTATCTTTTCCTCAATCACACCACTTAATTTATTTAATACTACTACTACTAATATTATTTCATTTATATTTATTACGAATGATTACCATACCAACTCGAACAGTGGACAGAGATAGTTCAGTCGTAGTTCCTCTTTAATATTAGTGTCGAAAGGAAATCCAGGTTGAACTTCAATAGATTTGCCATGCAATTCCATTTTAATATGGGGCTACTGAGCTTCCATCTTCAAACCATTATACCATTGTACCATAGTTCATCTTTTAATCTTCTATTAATGTCCAAAATGATATCTGAAGTATAACTGTTATTGTAAGTTAATGTGATCTACATAAAAAAATGCCATTACCTAGCCAAAATATTCCAGCCAGATATTAATATATTCACCGGACGGAATGCTTTGAACAAAAGGTTTACGCAGCAGGACTCTCCTATGGCAACAGACAACCTTGCCACCACCTGCATGCAAACATCAACCCCCACTTCGTTCAGGTTCTTTTAATGTCTTGATATCTGCATATTACAAAAATGAAAATTTAGTTCAAGCTCGTGTTGTTAGAGAAGAGCTTCACCATGGGATTTTTACCAGATGACATCACTCTTACCAAGGTTAATGTGGGGCCGTGTAACACAAGCCTCGGAGATTTTAGAGAAAGTCGAGAGCAAGGGAGGTGTAGTCGATGTGGTAGCTTATAATATTTTTTTTATTGAAAAAAATTTTAGATGGGAGGAAGTTTTCTCAGCACAAGATCAAGGCAAATCGTAGAACTCGTAAAGGACTTAAATTGCATTTATAAATCGTTTTTTAAAAGATATTACTGACAGCAAAAATTGAATCTAAATCTTACAAGTGAAGTATTCAATTCTTACCAATATTGGCTAGCTCATAATACTTTGATAAAAGGTTATTATAGAATAGCAAAGATGAAACTTAGGCAGCGCCTTTTGAAAGAGATGAGCATATGGGCTGCCTCCCAAATGCTGACAAATACAACATATTGATCTCTGGTTTCTGTGAGTCTGGTATATTGGATTCAACTTCGGATATGTTCAACAACAACATGAAGAGAGTTGGAACTTTGTTACTTATGATTCATTAATCACAGAACTGTGTTTAGCAGGGAGGATGAAAGATGGCTGTAAGATTTTAGAGCCAATGGAGAGGAGTAAGGGGGTTTACAGTGGGCATATTAGTCCCTATAATAGCGTGTCGTATAGTTTATACAAGGAGAACCTTTTGGAGGAAGCATTAGAGTTCCTTTCCAAGATGCAAAATTTATTTCCTAGAGTTATTGATAGGAGCTTAAGGATATTAGAAATTTGCAATGAGGGCAAGGTTGAGGATGCAAAGAGTTTATGATGAGATGAGATGATAGGGAAAGGGGCCTCCTTGCAAATTTCTAATACCCTTAAGCTCCTATCAACAGCTTTAGGAAATAATTTTGCATCTTGGAAAGGAAATAATATTTAAGTGCATGAAATGAAACATAATAAAGTGATAATGTTTATGCATGATTTCTTTTAGAACATTTCAGTCATATTTTTATTTATTACTAATCTCCTAAAAATTAACCCCAAAATAGATAAATTTATTAATTGTGATTATTTGGATTAATTCATATATTGTAATTTTTAATGGCTCTTCTAACTAAACAAGTGGAGCCACTAAATCTTGTTAAAATCACGATAGTTCTAATAATACTTATTAGATCAAAAGCCTCAATCCGATCAATTACTAGAAGCATAATTAAATAATTAATTAATCACACAAGTGATAATAATTTAACGTGATTTGGTCCAATCGACTTACGTCTAAAGATAAAAAATAAGATCTATTAGTTTTAAAGAATTATAAATGCATCAAATCAAACATTTACAATTAATACTCATAAACCCTCTCAATCTCTTATAATCTTATGAAATATTTTCAACCAAAATAAATACATATAAATATGCACCCATGTACCATTCTTATGTGAGCCATCTCATTTTTCTCTAATCTATTTAAAAAAACTCCCATAAATATGTTAATCTCAAGTAGTTCTATAGGGTGTCTACCTAATAAAACTTTATAATTTTTTTACATCTTTTTCTCATACATAATCTTATAGAGACTACTTATTTATAATAATACTAACTTGCTTATAAAAAATCTCTTTTCTCCTAGAATTCTTTTTTTCAAGTTTTTTTATCCATCAAACAATATATAATCAATTTTAACCAAATCTCTTATGAGATTTGAGTCACTATTCTCAATAATCTCTACTTTGACTCAAATTCTATCAAATCATTCATCTTCATCCTAGACATACTTTGCTTCACTTTCAATTCATAAAAAATTTTTTGTATCTTCATACTTCATATAAACTGATCTTCAAAATACGAACTCAAACTCTTCTATTGAATCAAGTTCTTCTAGGCTTGTCTCTTCCTATGTCTCGAATTTTCAACTCTGATATTACTTGTTAGGATTACAATAACTTTGATATTATTTTTTAAGCTAAAAGTCTCATTCAATTAAATATCTAAACTAGTGGAAGCAAAACCAAATGATTAATTAATCACATAAAAGATAATAAAAATTTAACGTAATTTGGTCTAATCAATTTACGTCTATAGATAAAAAATAAGGTCTACTCGTTGTAAAAAATTACAAACACATTAAATCAAACACTCATAATTAATACCTATAAACCCTCTAAATCTCCTCTAATCTTATAAAATATTCTTAACCAAAATAAATACATATCTATGTGCACTTATGCACTATATCTATGTAACTCATCTTATTCTCCTTTAGTCTACTCAACAATACACTTCATAAAAACTTTAATCTCCTCTAATCCTATTAGATATCTACCCAATAAAATATTATAACTTTTTTACGTTTTTTATTTATACATAATCTTGTAGAGACTATAACTATTTATAATTATAATAGCTTACCTAATAAAACCCTACAACTCTCTTACATATTTTTCTTATAAAAACTTAACCTATTTATAATCACACTAACGTACCTATCAATAGTTTTTTTTTTTAGAATTTTTTTCTCTAAATTTTTTTTTATCTATCAAGTAATATTTAAACAACTTAAAACAAATCTCTAATGAGATTTGAGTTATCATTCTCAATAAATGTTATCTTACTTCAAAAAAATTTATTTGAAAAATGACATTTTGAAATTCAAATAATTTTCATCACAAGTAATCAATCAAATAACAATTTTGGATCAAATGACTCCAAAGAAATTGAGCTTTCAAAGAGCTTTCGAACTCTGTTGTTATTTCATCCTCAAGCGCCATATTTTCTCGTGACATCGAAATTTTGAGGCATATGTTGGATAAGATAGTGCAATACAATAATCAAAGAAAACAAAAAATCATGTTGTCTATTTTTAGCAAAAACTTTGATATTTAAGAAAGATCAAAAAAATTTCTTATTGAGTGCATCATGGATTTGAAATCAAATGAGCATCAAAGCAAATTTAGTTCAAATAGGTAGTCAGCAATTTGCCAAAAATTCAACTCGTTGTAACTAATTTGTATGAGCATCCAGAGAAGAGATCATAACAAAGGCTCATAGGCCTTCTATTCTTATATTTGAGTAGTAACAACATGGAAAAAATTTTCTAAAAAACAATTGTTACTCTCATCTTTTCGACTTCATTGTCATCTTTTTTGCACTTTTTCCTAATCAAATAAGGTTCGAATGCTGCAATAACCAAATACAAGCTGTTAATGTAATATTATGTAATATATAATGTAGTTATGTTATCAAATTTAATATTAAGAAATATAATACTATAATTAGAATAATAGTCGAAATTATGACACAATTACGACATCATATGACATAAATTGTGATGTAATTCTCTCTTAATGAGAAATTTCTACATGTAAATAGGACATCTCTGTAGAGGTAAACTAGTGAATTCAGAATAATTCTCCTTTAAGACGAGCAAACATGTATTTAGATGGCATACATGCCCACTCCAAAAACCTTAACAATGGAAATCTAGCCCAAAAAAATACATGGACTAGAAAATGCATGTGAGCCCAAAATTTGACATGTGAGAGAGATCTTATCATTTAAATTAACTGAGTTCAACCTTCGCAGTGTCACAAGAAAAGCAACAAACTTTAAAAAAAAAAAAAAAAAAGGAAATAAAGGGCCTGAGGTGCAGGTTTACATGTTAGGGAGGGGGGGGAGGTGGCGAGGAATCACAGGCGGAATTCCGTCAAGATGTCATGCAGAAGATTTTATGGGGGGATTTGAAAGTGTCAAAAGACATCAAATGGAATAACTAATAATTTTACGGTTGATTAGTGCCGTACTTTCTAAAATTGCTTTCTATGCTGCTTTTTTTTTGACAAATAGAACGCTGCTAATAATTTTGTTACATTTTTATGTAATTTTATACAAATTTTATTCGTATGAGAATGCTTTGAAGTAATTACTCATTCAACAATATATATTAAGCATAATTATCAAAATTAGAACAGATTATTGATCCGACCAAATGAATTGGTGAATCAATGCTAAAATTAATTCGATTCTATAATTAAATTAATTTTATAATTAAATCACTTTAAATTATTGTGAACTCACGATTTATATAATAAATCAATAAATCGAATTATTTTTTTAAATCAAATTAGTTAAATAACAACTAATAAGTTTAGGTAAAATATAAAAAAAAAACTTTTTAATATTTAAAATAATCTAATTAAACTCTTATAGTACTATTTCATATAAAAAAAACTTTTTAGTATTTGAAATAATCTAATTAAACTCTTATAGTACTATTTCATCTAAATAAACCCCCCAATTCTTATGTTTTTACTATTAAAGTCCTTGCATCCTTATACTAATAAAATATATTAACATATTTTGAGATATGTGAATAATGATATTATAAAAAAACTTATACATGTATAAAAATAAGCAATTTAAGAAAAAAAGATCTAACAAAAAGTTTTATTAATAGATACAATAATTAAAAATAATTATAAAATTAATAAAAAAAATAAAATATTAATAAAAATAATTAATTATTTGATCACGATAAAAAATAATTAATAAAAGAAAATGTATATATGTAAAATTAATAAAAAAATCTACATTCATATAAAAAAATAAAAATTATTTTAATTTCCTCTTTACTAATTTTCATATAAATATAAATATAAATATTTTCTTTTTATTAATTTTATATATAGATATTTCTTTTTTATTACATAAATATTAATTAATAAATAATATTTATGTTTTAATAAATATAAATAATAATTGTTTATAATTATTTGTTACTTATTATTTATTATATTTATTAAAATATAAATATTATTTTCAACTAATAAAATATAAAATATGATTTTAATAAAATGTGAAATAATTTCATTTCTAATTAATTGTTCTATAAATTTTATATTTTAAAATTTGTAGTTTATAATGTATCTTAAATTTATAGTTTTATGGTTGAAATATTAAACTATAATTTTAGTTAAACGTTTGAATTTTAGAATTTAAAAATATTTATATTTTTTATAATATTTTTTATTGAATAATTGACCCATAAACCTAGTGATTAAATCATTAACTCGATGACCCAAAACCTTGAACAATTTAATGTTCAATCCAGTTCTGATAACTATGATATTAAGTACTCACTCTAGTTGGATGATTGGATGATGAATTTTAATTTTACAATCATTGAAAATTTGATTTGAACTAGCTAGGGAGTAAAATTCAGATCTGGCTTTTAAACAAAATCTGATAATACAATATGAAATAGATAAAAATAAAAATAAAAATAAAAATTTTAGAGTTTAAAATTTTAACAAAAATCATACATAAATTTAATAAAAAAAAAAATTGTGTTTTATGTGTCAATATAAATTATAACACAAATATAATTAAATTAATTATCAAATATAATCTAAATACATTTAAAGCAAACAATGGGAGGCTATAAGTATCTTTCATTAGTCATAAAATAAACCTGTGTAGACAGACAACATTGGAAGCAGAGAGCAAGCAGATGTCAAATTTTGAACGTCCCTGAGCATGCATAAGCAAATAAAAGTAGTTTATGATAATAACAATGACGAGCCTTAGTAATTAATTTAATATGAAGAAAAGTTCAAAGGCAACTCAGTAAAAGATAACCTTTCCACTCTTATCCAATGAAATTTGCATGACAGGAATGCAGGAAATGCCATAGAAATTTCAGGATACCTTAACAACAAAGCACAGTTATTGGGAAAATGGCTTAAAATTCAAGCCGAAATTTTTTACTCAGTGGGGACTATTGCTAAACAATAAAGAGAAAAAAAATGAGAAGAAGAAGGGATATCAGGCAAGATACAGAGACAGGGAGGTCCTAAATGAGTGTTAGATAGAATTATAAACTGGTGAGGACCTTAAAGAATGTTTGGTTATTTAACACTTGTATTATCTTACTTTTATTATAATAAAAATAGTTAATCTTATGAATCATCTTTTTTTTTGTCATTCAAGGAAAGGTTCAACCCCACGTAAGGGAGGAGGAGAGAAGGTTGAGGTTGGAACTTCAATTTTGATATTTTTTTTAAGGTTGACTTATAATAATAAATTATATTAAATTATAATAAAATATTTAATATAATAATTAAATATTAAAAATATTTAATATGATATTTAAATTATAAATATATTAATTAATTTAATATTTAAAAAATTATTTATTCATCACATTATTATTTGAAACTAATCACGTTAGATATGAATATTATATTAATTAATTAATTTATATTTTATGTATTACATTAAAAATTTTTCTTATAATTTAAAAACCTTTCACAATATTAATTTTAATATAAATTTCTCATCCTATTCATGGATAAAGATTTTATGCAAAATCACATAAATTCTTATATTTTTATTAATTATTATTTTAACGTATTATTTCATCATACAAACCTAATTATTTTTTAATGAAGTTACTTGTCATATAAATCTTAAAAAAACAATTAATCACAATAATGCCATGACCCCAAAGCAAAAATGTCAATAATAAAAATATTGTAGATGGTGATTATTTTTTAAATCAATTAATATGTTATTAAAATTAATAATTATAAATTATAAATTTAAAAATATTTAAATATATAATCTCCTCTTCAATAATCGTATATTTAGATGTGTAAGAAAATTTAAAGATAAATTAAAAAAATATATACCATAGATTTTGTCAATCTTAAATAGTGTGAAAGCAATCAAGTTTATCGCCTATGCAGGAGTAACTGTCTAGGTTGGCTCATTAACTATTAGTCCTTATCAGATGAATCGAATGAAGTCTTCTGGAAAAATACTCAAAAAGTTTTATAGACTGTAATCAATTGTGCATACAACATCATACGGAGTAAGGACAGTACCAAAACCTAAAATGACAACCAGCCAGTACATATATATAATATTTAATTTTACAGTAGAACGTCAAGGCCTTGTCTTTTCCTTGGTGAGATCTGGGCCTTCAATGGAGTCCTCATCACTACTGTGAACTCCAGCTTCTCCTCCAAGCTGATCTCATCTCCATCCATGGCTTTCCATTCAAATTTCCAAACCAAATTTGCAACAAAATATTCCAGATGAAGCAGGGCTAAACCAAGTCCAGGACAAATTCTTCTGCCAACTCCAAAAGGCATCATCTTAATCTCCCTGCTCCCTGTTAAATCGAAAACTTGCCCACTACTATCATCACTTCTCAAGAACCTTTCAGGCTTAAATGCCATTGGATCCTCCCACACTTTTGGATCCCACCCCATATCTGCCACCATGAAATTGATAGATCCTTTCTTGGGGACCAAGAATCCTCCCAGGACGGTGTCTTCTGTCACACAATGAGGCACCACAAAGTGGGTTGGTGGATGCCTTCTTAGCCCTTCCAAAATCACTGCTTTCAAATATGGCATCTTTTGCAAATCGTCTTCTTTGATTTCTTCCTCGCCATCTCCCACAACTCCTTTGATTTCAAGCAACAATTTATCTTGAATATACGGGTGTTTCACCAAATTTGCCATAACCCACTGCAAAGCCGTGGAGGTAGTATCAGTGCCAGTATTAAGAAACTCAGAGGCCAAACTCACAATTTCTCCTTCATCAAGTTTCCTTTTCTCCTCAGGTAATTCCAAATCCAACAAAGTATCAACATATGCCAAAACGTAATCATCACTTTCCTTCTTGCTCAATCTCTCATCTTTAGCTTTCTTTCTTGCTCTTATCAAAGGAATCAAAGCATCCTCTCGATCCTTGCATAGCCGAAAAAACTGCTTCCACTGCTTACGAAGCAAAACCTTGGTCACTCTAGGCCAAAAGTTTAGTATATTGAATCTTCCAAAACTTAACATCACCCTTTGCTGAACAGCTTCGATCTCTTTGATTTGATCCTGACTAAGCTTGTCACCAAAACACATCAAAACCAGCAAACAAAACATAGCATATCGAAACTGAGCCAAAACCTGAACTGATTCTCCACTTTTAGCATTTGATTCTAAACTATCAAAAAGAATTTCCAAAACCCATTTACGTGCATGAGAATACGACTTTACACGCGAAGGATGGAAGATTTCTGACGTCAGGTTCCGCCGCAAAATCCGCCAGGTCGGGCCATAGGAGGCGGAGCTGATGGTATGTTGATTGCTATTCATGATCTTGGTAGTCGGAAGAGCTTTGGGGCGGTTTGAAAAGAGTGAACCGTTTTGGATTAAAGCCTGGTGAGCAAGGGAACGATCGAAGATAAAGATGGAGGGACGAGGACCAAGGTGGAGAGTGACCATGGGACCAACCTTTAGATGGAGGTTGCGGATGATTTGTTCGATTTGGAGAAAAGATTTGCGGAGCCATAAGATGTTGCCGATGATAGGGAAAGTGAAAGGGCCAGGGGGGAGAGTGTGGGGAAGCTTTTTGGAAGAGGAGAAGAGGTTGACGAAGGCTTTGAGAAGAAGAGAAATGGAGACTGTGAGAAGGATGAGAAACCAAGTTTCCATTGTTTGGGTGAAGACGTGACAAGAAAAACTTCGAGTTTATAGTGGTGTCTCCTGTTTCTTTTGACCGCTATCCCAATTTTCAATGTTTACAATTATATGCTTTTTGTCACAAAAAAAAAGTTGTTTGCTTTTAAAATAATTTAGATTTTTATAAGATACAGAGTATCAGAACTTGATTCTATATTTAATAAGATAAGGTGCCAGGTTAACGAATGCTAAGACACATTGAGGTCTCGGTTTCTAATCTTCCCTTCCTTAATTCTGATACTAAAACAAGGAACAATGAGGTTAGTCAAGTGAAATTAAGTTTTATACTCTTTGTCTCAAAATATTTAAGTTCTATTGATTTTTATAGACTTTGAGATAAAAAATTTTAATTTTAATATTAAAATATATTAAAATTAAATTTTCATAATTTTTAATATTAAAAAATAAAAAAATGTAAAATATAATTTTAAAATATAGAAAAAATGAGTTTTATATATTAAAAATTTTATAATTTTAGGATATTCCAAAAAAGAAAGATGAAACAAATAAGATTGAGGGAATCTATTTTATTATATTCTCAAATTTTATAAATCTTATAAAAATATAAAAAATTTATAGGTTTGTTTTGTTAAAAAATGATTTTCGGATTTTTGAAAAATATTTACATTTTTTGCTATTTGGATGAGTTAATCAAAAATATTTTTCATTATTTGGTTGTTTTTTGAAAAATTTGTTTTTTTCAAATAATATTAATATAATTATTAAAATATTAAAAATTATTTATTATTAAAATATATTGAAATTATTTATTATTAAAATTATTAATATTAAAAAATAATTCTATTTTAATAATAATATGTAATATTAAAATCTTATGTTAATATAAAAAATACTTAAAATAAAACTCTTTATTATTCTTTATATTGTTTATTAATATATTAATATATTATTTATTAATAATATTTACTAATATATTATATTAATAGTATATTATTTATTCATATATTATTATAATATTTATTAATTAAATTAAAATATTTATTATTATAATTTTATTAATATAATATTATTTATAAATAAAATTATGCTTAAAAGTATTAGTAAATAGTTATACTCATAAATAGCTTTTTTTGAAAAATATCTTCCCTTTTTCAAATCTGTAACATAATTTTAAAAAAATGATTTTATTTTTCATTAACTAATAAGTCATTTTTTGTTAACTAATCAATTTCTTATTAAACAAATATCTAAAAATATAAAAATTATTTTTTAAAGATTATTTTTCGCGAAACAAACAAAACCTAAATTTAATTAGTTTTACTTGTGTAAAGTCGATGTCTTTTCTATATATTTATAACATATACTAAAATTACACAAGATAAATAATAATGAAAAATAATTGAATGTGGGAGAAGAAAAGAGAAATATAAGGAAACCATAATGATAATAAAATAAAATAGTTTCATATTATTTACATTTACTAATTTATTTTTTTATTTGAATTTAAATTTCTCTATTTTTTAACCAATAAAATATTGACTTAGTAATAAAGAGTACATCTTAAAATCTCAAGGTTTTAACTTCATGTCTCGTTATATGCAAGTTTGATTAAATTTTACAATGAATTTGTTTAATTATATTATAATTTGTTAATTTTTTTATTAAATAATTTTTTATATATGGATATAATATTTTATTATAATTGTAATTTGTATTTATAATTTTATAAAAAAATTCTCTTTCTTTTAATATTTATTTATAACTTATTTAAATTTATGATTAAATTCGCATTTGAACATTGTTGGACCTTTGGATAAAACATTAATGAAATAATGTTAAAATATCAACAATACCTTGATAAATTGATTTAGTTAATAATAATAAAATCTACAACAGACAATAAATAATATTAGCAAAATGAAAAATCAAAATTTAAGTGAAAAATCTTTTAAAATAGAGAAAAAAATCACGAAATAAATTTCAAAAAAATCCATAAATTGTAAGAATACAGTATATCTTAATCTTTTTGTCTAAAACTTAAGATTCACAACAACTGAAATAATATAAAAAATTCTCTCTTTAAAAATACACCTCCAAATCTCTTCTAAATTAGATAATAAAGTATTATAATTTTTTATAATTGAAATATACTTCAACCCCAACAATTCTTTTTTTATTATTATTTTATTTTATTCGATCCACATGCACCTTGAGGTTATCTTCAGTGACGCAGTCGATGCCAAAATTTTTTATTTCCTTCACATAGAAATGAAACAGCCAATGGCCACTTAATCAAAATTGGGGGCTCCAACTTTTGCAAACATTTAATTTAATGAATAAAAAAAGGCTGAATTTCCTGAAAAAAATTGAATTTGGGGAAATGGTGGGTGGGGATAAGAAGGTATCCCTATCCTGGAATTAAAAAAAAAAAGAATTTGGGGATGGTGGATGGGGTTAAGAATGTGTAGCCCCCGTGAGTTTGTTGGATATTTTAATTGATTAGATTACTTTTTTAGGTCATGTTTGATTTATAGAATTGAATGATAATTATCTTAATTAAATTTAATTTATATAAAAAAAATTATAAAGAAAAATAATTATTTTTTTAGTATAAGATAATTTAATTATTTTAAAGTAAAAAAGTTATTTTTAATTTGTGAGATTAAATTTTTATTTTTTATTATATCGTTAAAAATTATATCAATAATTTAAATTATATAAACTTTTAAAAAAATAATTTTGATTAATGAATAAATTATTTAATTTTAATATTTATATATATTAAATACAATATAAAATGATATTATTTAATTTAATCTTATTATAATATCATCTTATTTTATCTTATTATAATATTTTTGTACCAAACACATCTTTAGTGTTGAATATAAATTATTTTAATTTGTTATATTCATTATTTATTAATTTAATTAATAAATTATAAGATATTTTATTATTATTTTTTCTAATGAAAGAATGAGCCAATCAGTCTTAATACAATGTTGAGCACATATTAATCTCAACCAATAATTGTGAATACTGAGATCATTTCTCTAAGAAACTCTAATTCAACAATTATCCAACGTTAACAAGCTACTTAACATGTGGTGTTGCTAAACCATCTCTATTCAACACACCTATTAATGAAGATGGAGGTTGCCGAAGCCAACCCAATCCAGCCATGCTATCACCATTTTCGAATGCGTTGCCGCCCAGTCTGCCGCCTTATTGGCTTGTCTCCTAATCAAAACCAGCTTTTTTTCCTGTATTAGCTCTCATAGCTGCAAGACATCCTTTACCACAGGCCTCAACTTGCAATCCTGCCTACCCTTTGTTCTATCCATGTTATTAAACAAGATTTCAGAATCTGTTTCAACAACAACCCTATGATATTTCCTTTCAACTATTAGCTTAACTCCAGCTTTCAGAGCTAATCCTTCTGTTAACAGTGCAGAATCGGACTTTACTGTCTTTCCTATATCATCAATAAGCTCACCCTTATCATTTCTTATTACTACTCCTATCCCTGCTTTTCTTGTCCTATCATGCACCATCGCAGTTCATTTTCAACCAACCTGTGTCTGGATAATTCCATTTTTCTTGATAATCATTACCTCTTCCAATTCTATTTGCTTCTGAGACCTCCCTCACATCCTGATTTCTACAAACCTCAAAAACAGCATTTTTTGTTCTTAGAATAGCAAATTTAACTGCCAAGTCTTTCTTCCCTACTGTCTCATCGCACCTTGATTTATAGATATGGCCACTGCAGCTTTCATATACGCCCTCCCTTCTTTAATTTTATTTACTTTCTCTAAGGTTTCCCTAATCAAGCGTAAAGATATGGAATCTGGTCAAAATTTGATTATAAAATAATTTATTTATTTATATAAATAAATTTTAATATGTTTAAATTTATTTATTTAATTAAATTTTAAACTATTATTTATGATTATTTATTAAATTTAATAAATAAATATAAATTAAATTTATTCATATATTATTCGTCAAATATTTATTTCATTAACGCTCTTAATTGCTTTTAATGAGGTTATGTGCGGGCAGTAGGGTATAAGCTATCATTTATATTTGTTCAATTAATACATAATAATGTATCCTGCAGGGCAAAAATCAACCTTTAGGGTCGAAAGTATAGACAAATTTAAAATTTAGGATTTTATTCACCAATAATCCTTATATAAGATCTCTTTTTAATTTTCACCTGCTAAAGGGGAGTCCTATTGTGTAAATCTTTTGTTGAAAGCATTGTCCAGGGAATATATTATATCTGGCTGAAATATTTTGGCTAGTTAGTGGCATATTTTTTTTATGTACATTGTACTAATAGTACTTGCTTATAAATGACATCACCCCACTTTTGTGGCTTGATTTATTGTAGAAGTTGTAATCTTGCAAATATAGTTGTGTTTCAGATATCATTTTGGACATCAATAGAAGATTAAAAAATGAAGTATGGTACTATGGTATAATGGTTTGAAGATGGAAGCTCAGTGGCCCCATATTAAAATGGAACTGCATGGCAAATCTATTGAAGTCCAACCTGGTTTTCCTTCCGACGCTAATATTAAAAGGAACTACAATTGAACTATGCTCTGTCCACTATTTGGGTTGGTAATGGTAATCACTCGTGATAAATATTGTAGACACTCAATCTGTTCAGGGTCTATTTTTTAATTAGTTAAAAAAATTAAAATGAAAAAAATGGAATAGGGTGATTAAATTTGTAAAAAATTGGGTTAAAGAGTTTGAGGCAGATTGGAAGAAATTGAATAAGACTAAAGTTCAGATGGAGGACCATGGTGGAGAGTGACCATGGGACCAACCTTTAGATGGAGGTTGCGGATGATTTGTTCGATTTGGAGCAGAGATTTGCGCAGCCATATGATGTTGCCGATGATAGGGAAAGTGAAAGGGCCAGGGGGTAGAGTATGGGGAAGCTTTTTGGGAGAGGAGAAGAGGTTGAAGAAGGCTTTGAGAAGAAGAGAAATGGAGATTGTAAGAAGGATCAGAAACCAAGTTTCCATTGTTTGGGTGAAACTGTGACAAGAAAAACTTTAGTTTTCAGTTTATAGCGGTGTCTCATGTTTTCTTTCGACCACTATCCCAATTTTCAATGTTCACAATTATTTGCTTTTAAAATAATTTTGATTTTTATAAGATAAAGCGTATCCTGACTTGATTCTATATTTTATAAAACAAGGGTAGTCCAATGACATTAAGTCTTATCTGTTTTATTATATTCTCGAAATTTTATAAATCTTATAAAAAGATATAAAAAAATGTATAAATTTCAATTAGTTTTACTTGTGTAAAGTGGATGTCTTTTCATGTATTTATAACATATACTAAAATTACATAAGATAAATAATAATGAAAAATAATTGAATGTGGGAGAAGAAAATACAAATATAAGGAAACCATAATGATAATAAAATAAAATAGTTTGATATTGTTTATATTTATTAATTCATTTTTTATTTGAATTTAAATTTCTTTAATTTTTTAGTTAATAAAATTTTGATTTAATGATAAAGAGCATATTTTAGAATTTCAAAGTTTGAAATTTAAGTTTTACTGTTCTAATTTGTTGATTGATTTGTTTGTTTAATTATTTAATAATTTTTTATATGAATATAAAATTTATATAATTATAATTTGTACTTGTAATTTTATAAAAAAATTCTTTATCTTTTATTATACATTTATAACTTATTTATATTTAAAATTAAATTCTCATTTGAACATTGTTGGATCTTTGGACAAAATATTAGTGAAATAATGTGAAAATAATAACATCTAAATAACTCAGTTTAGTTAATAAAAATAAAATCCAAATCAGACAATAAATAATATTAACAAAAAATAAAAAATCAAAATTTATGTGAAAAACCTTCTAAATAGAAGAAAAAAATCATGAAACAAAATCAGAAAAATATCTACAATAAGAAATAAGCAAATTGAAAGAATACAATATATCTTTATCTTTTTGTCCCAAACTTAAATTTCACAATGGAAATAATGTAACAAAATTATCTCTTTAAATCTCTTCTAAATTAGATAATAAAGTATTATAATTCTTTATAATTGAAACATTCCCCCCAACATTTTTATTTTATTTTATTCGATCCACATGCAGCTTGCGGTTATCTTCAGTGACGCAGTCGATGCCAAAATTTTTTATTTCCTTCACATGGAAATGAAGCGGCCAATGACCATTTAATCAAAATTGGGGGCTCCATCTTTTACAAACATTTAATTAATGAATAAAAAAAAGGCTAAATTCAGATCCCCTATCCTCAAAAAAGAATTGAATTTGGGGAAATGATGGGTGGGGTTGGGAAGCTAGGCCTATCCTCTAATTAAAAAATGAATTTCGGGATGGTGGATGGTGGATGGTGGATGGTGGATGGTGGATGGTCGATGGTCGATGGTGTTAATAAGGTGTGGCCCCTGTGAGGACGTTGGATATTTTAATTGATTGGATTGCATTTAGTGTCGAATATAAATTATTTTAATTTTGTTATATTCATTATTTATTAATTTAATTAATAAATTGTAAGATATTTTATTAATTTTTTTTCTAATGAAAGAATGAGCCAAACAGTATCAGTCTCTGTTGAGCACATTTTAATCTCAACCGATATTTGTGAGGACTCAGATCTTTTCTCTAAATTCAACAATTATCCAATCTTAACAAGCTAATTAACATGTGGTGCTGCTAAATCATCTCTACTCAACACACCAATTAATGAAGATGGAGGTTGCCGAACCCAAGCCCAGTCCACCCATCCCCATTTTCGACTGCGTTGCCACCTAGTCTGCCGCCTTATTGGCTTGTCTTCTAATCAAAATGGCTTCATTTCCTTATATAAGATCTCTTTTTAATTTTCGCCTGCTAAGGGAGAGTCCTATTGTGTAAATCTTTTGTTGAAAGCATTCTGTCCACGAAATATATTATACCTGTTTGAAATATTTTGGCTAGTTACTGGCATTTTTTTTATGTACATTATACTAATAGTACTTGCTTATAAATGACATCACCCCACTTTTGTAGCTTGATTTATTGTAGAAGTTGAATAGTGTCATCTAGTTTGCATATTGACGCATATATATATATATATGAGAATTTAATCTTGCAATTATAGTTGTGTTTCAGATATCATTTAGGACATCAATAGAAGATTAAAAAATGAAGTATGGTACTATGGTATAATGGTATAATGGTTTGAAGATGGAAGCTCAGTGGCCCCATATTAAAATGGAACTGCATGGCAAATCTATTGAAGTCCAACCTGGCTTTCCATTCGACGCTAATATTAAAAGGAACTACAATTGAACCATGTTCTGTCCACTATTTGGGTTGGTAATGGTAATCATTCGTGATAAATAAAAATAAAATAATTATTAGTAGTAGTAGTGGTATTAGATAAATTACGTGATGTGACAAAAGGAAAAATACGCAACGCCGCCAAACTAAAAAGCATTGCTTTCCAGCTTCTAGTCTCCAGATCGTATAAGAGCCTTTCAGAAAGTGGCTAGTCTTACACACTTAACGTACCTACCTACCGTTAACATTCCATCCTGCGAAAGACAACGCCTCAGAGGATATTGCTGTTGTTTAATTTTTTCAAATAATATATAAAATTATAAATTTTTAAAATTTAATTTGAATTTGAATCAAATTTTTTTATAATTAAATATAATTTAAATCAAATTTTAAGTTTGATTTATTAATTTTTAATTTATTTTTAGATATTATTTTAATATAATATTTAATATTATCAAATAAATTTAAATATAAATAATTATTTTTATCTTATAAAATTTTAAAAATATATAAAAGTTAATAAAAATATATAATTCAATTTTTTTTTGTTATTTCTTACTTTTTAATTCAAACTTCAATTCAAACATAATATATATTTAATATCTTAATTTAATTTGAACCGAATAAAAAAAATCGAAATTGAACCAAATATTACAATTTATTAATAATTTTTTATTTTCTTAATTTTTTTCAACGTGAAATAAAATTATAAACGAATCAAATATGAATGAATGAACGTATATCTGTAATTTGTTCATTTATTTTTAAAAGTGTTCAGGCTCAATTTATGTTCAGTAAGAAAATTACTTTATTAGTTCGAGCTCGATTTGTTAAAATAATAAGATATTTACATTTAATTCGTATTTAGTTCAATTAAATTAAATGAACGCGTTCTTGGACATTAATAGATATGTTCACGACATATATAAACGAACATGTTTATAAATAATAAATAAATCATAATCAAATAAAGTTAAACAAACAAACCCCTAAATGAATATAGACGAATCCAAACAAACATAAGCGAATTTTAAAATATGATTAGGATAAAAATGTAATTTTATTAATACTATCATAAACAATAAATGAGTAATAAACAAATGTGTTTTAAATGAATTTTAAATGAATTTCCTCATGAACATAAACTCATCATAAACTCTTTGCATCCTCAACCCTACCCTCATTGCAAATTTCTAATACCCTTAAATTCCTATCAATAGCTTTAAGAAATAAATTTTGCATCTTAAAAAGGAAATAATATTTAAGTGCATGGAATGAACATTTCAATTATATTTATATTTACTACCAATCTCCTAACAATTAACTTCAAAATCAATAAATTTATTAATCATGATTATTTGAATTAATTCATATATTGTAATTTTTAATGGCTCTTCCAAGTCATTGGTAGAGCCATTAAATCTTATTAAGATCACGAGAGTTATGGTAATACTTGTTAAATTAAAAAACCCTAATTTAATCAAGCCAATAGAAGCATAATAAAATAATTAATCACTCACATTAAAAACCACAATTTAATGTAGTTCGGGTCAATTAACCTACATACACAAAATATAAACAAGATCTACTAGTTGTGAAAAATTACAAATACATCAAATCAAACACTCACAATTAATACCCATATACCCCTTCAATTTTCTAATTTTATAAAGTATTCTCAATTAAAAAATATATATACTCCTATACATCCATGCAGTATACCTATGTATACTATCTCATTCTCCTCTAATCCACTAAAAAATACACTCCCATAAAAGATGTTAATCTCCTTTAGCCCTATGAGATGTCTACCTAATAAAACCCTACAACTCTTTTACATTTTTTTTTTCATATATACCCTTGTAGAAACTCCATCTATTTATAACCATACTAACTTGTTTATCAAGAATCTTATTCCTTTTAGAATTATTATTTTACAAATCTTTTTATCTAGTAAGTAATATTTAACTAATTTTAAACAAATACCTTATAGGATTTGAGTCACTATTTTCAGTAATCTTTACTTTAACTCAAATTTCATTAAATCATTGATTTTCATATTAGACATGTTTGACTCCACTTCTAATAGAAGTCTCGTAACAAATTTCTCTATGTGTCTTCACACTTCATGCAAGTCAATCCTCAAAACATAAATTCAAACTCCTTTATTGAATTGAGTTCTTCTAAACTTGCCTCTTTCTATGTATCGAACTTTCAATTCTGATATCACTTGTTAAGATTATAACAATTATGATACCATATGTTAAGCTAAAAATCTCACTCAATTAAACATCCAAGTCAGCTAAAGCAAAATCAAACAATCAATCAATTACATAAAAGATAACAATAATTTAACATGGTTCACTCAACCGACTTATGTCTACAAATAAAAAATAAGAGCTACTAATTATAAAAAATTACAAATATATTTAATCAAACACTCACAATTAATATCCATAAACCCTCTCAATCTCTTTTACTCTTATGAAATATTCTCAACCAAAACAAATATATATCAATGTGCATCTATGCAACATATCTACGTGGACCATTCTATTTTCCTCTAGTCCACTAAAAAATGTATTCTTATAAAAGATGTTAATCTCCTATAGTTCTATAAGATGTTTACTCAATAAAATCCTACAACTCTCTTACTTTTTTTTTTATACATAATTTTGTTAAGACAACACTTATTTATAACCATATTAATTTGTTTATCAAGAATTTTTTTAGTGTTAAAATT